TGGAGCATTGAACTCTCTGTCTGAACTATCTAAGCAGCTAAAGTAGATCCTAATCAGTTATCAAGCGAGAGCGGAGGCAGGGTATCGTCTCTACTCTGTGACGTCTTTATCACGCGCTTTCGATCAGGGTAAAAAGTAAGTTTTCTGCGATTGTGTATAGCGCAATGAAGGGCTTCTGCGCGTTGGTGAAGTGCAGACCCGTCCTTACCTCAGATGAACTTCTCGTATTTCGTCGATTCTTGGACTCCTCAGTGTGGCACATTTGGCAAAATAATGATATCAGGCACTCATAGGCATGCCACAAAAAAAACAACGTCAGAAGAATGAAACTGAAGGTTAGGCGAAGAGCTGGAGCTCAGATGCCTTTTACAAATCCAGCATCATGGCTCATCCCTGATCTACTAAACTGAAGAAGAGCGCACTACGCGTTTACGTAACACCTGGATACGACCGATGAGCTGCCCTTATAGAGTGAAGTACCATTTGTTCCTATGAAAAAGTTGTAGCGCTTTTCTTCATCGAGAGTCGGCACTGAACTTCATGCTCTTCAAATGGTGTTCCACCTATTTCACCATCTAAGCCGCTTTTCGCGCTCTCATTCCCAGCTCAAATATTTTTTACCAGAGCTTATCAACAAACTTACGTTTTTTATATGTATTAGTGAGCTTTTCACTTTTACAAGAATGCTAAGTTACCGAAAAATTCTTGACTCCGCGTGGGACTCAAATCCGTGCCATAGCCTCACAATTATCAGTTTCGTGACGGGTAGCGCACTCGCCCGCAATGTGTGAGGTGCGGGTTTGAGTCTCGCCTGGAGTCAAGACTTTTGCTTATCACGTCACGAAGTCTTGTGATAATTTTTGGAAAGCGAACTGCAGCGTAAGCAACGAATATCACAATAAAATGACTCCTCGTTATCATTCTCTACTCCAGATTCTCTGCTACCTACCTGCTCAATGGTATTAGCCTGAGCGTATGTCCTCCATTCGGGCACGAATAGATAGAAGCAGACTCGCTTGACGATATTCAGCAGCTCTTCTCCGCGCAACACATCTTTCTCAATACCGTAGTCAGGCAAGCAGAAATCGTAGCAATCAGAACATTTTCGATCTGCAAAACGAGTACTGTAGCCTTCGCAAACATACTGCTGTAAGACACCTACTCTTTTGATTGCTGGTCACGTAGTCCAACTGAACCCATCGAGCCCCTTCGCATTCAGGAATAGGTGGATTGAACAACTGTTGACCATTCATTGTCATTGGCGCTGGCAAATACTGCCAGCTTTCATCCCATCCCTGGCTTTGTGACAATTTCTGCAAAAAAAAAATATAAAAGCGTTGCCTATTGAAAGACAGTGAAAATGAAAGAGTGTTTTAGATAATATGCAGGGCTACTAGGAGCGAAACCTATTGCGGACAGCGGATATCGGTTCGAATATAAGTCTTTCATCCAACAAGAAATAGCTACGATTTTCTAGCTAGTAGACTCGGCATACAGTTGGTACTGGGGCAATCAGGCGGGGTCAGGAGGCATGGAATGAGCTCCCCCGGCGTTTCCTTGGTTGTTTTTCTTCTGTACTAATTTGAACTGGTATAAAATAATTCCTTTCTTCGCCGTATGTTCGTGGAAGCTCGGATAGGCTAGAGATCTGTCTGGGGCACTTTGAGAAGTTTGTTCTTTACCAAGTTATTTATCACCACTCTGATTCCGTAACGTGCCTTCGAGCTTCACAGGAGGGTAGAGGGGTGCTCTAGTGAGGTAATATTAGGTTGTCCGGAAAGTTCTCAGCGTTTTGTGCACCTATTTTTTGTACATTCACTGCTGATTAAAAACTCATTCTGCCTTGCTTCTCAGTAGCACATCCTGTAGAGAATTTCTTGCGCTATCTGATGGTATAATTGCCGTTTCACCATTGCTTGATAAACCCCCTTTTTTCAAGATTTTTTCAAGCATGTGAAAAGAGCACTTCGGACGATTTTTTTCTTCGACTATAAATTGGGGCAATCCGCAATCGAAACAGCTCAACAAATTAACCAGGTGTGGGCCCAATAGTGCTAGAGAAAGCACTGTGCGGCAATGGCTCAACAAATTTCGTTCTGGAGATTTCAGCCTTGAAGATGAACCTCATAGCGGTCGACCTAAAGCAATATCTGACGAGGATTTTAGGGGGATTTTGGAGGCTGACCCATCCCAAACAGTTCGAGAGATAGCAGAAGAGCTAGGCCTTGGCAAATTGGCAAATCCACTGTTGCAGATGGTCTGGAACGCATTGGGAAGGTGAAAAAACTCGACAATTGGGTGCCCCACAATCGGAGTGACCGGCAGGAATCGGCACGTCTCGAGGTTCCTTCTGCATTGCTTTTGCGCAGCAGAAACGACCTGTTTTTGGGCCGAATTGTCACCTGTGATGAAAAATGGGTCATGTATGATAACAGGAGACGTTCCGGACAGTGGTTGGATTTCGACGAACCACCGAGGTAATTTTCAAAGCCGAACCCTCACGAAAAAAAGATTCTGGTCACGGCTTGGTGGTCATCGGCTGGTGTGATCCACTATAACTTTTTATCACCAGGCCAAACCATCACAGCAGAACCCTACTGTGAAGAAATCGACGAATTGTACCGAAAATTTTGTCAGATGCAGCCAACACTTATCAAAAGAAAGGGTCCGATTCCTTTGCATGACAACGCCCGCCCACACGTTTCACAAATCACTATCCATAAATTGAACGAATTGGGGTTGAAGTTCTACCTCAACCGCCATATTCTTCAGACCTTTCGCCAACCGACTATCACCTTTTCTAACATTTTCAGAACTCCCTTGCTGGAAAATACTTCATCAATCAGGACCAGGCAAAAAAGCCTTCGTGGATTTCGTGAATTCTCGACCACCCAGTTTTTTCTTTGATGGGATTTCTCGACTGCTGTCACATTGGCAAAAGTGTGCTGATTCGAATGGTGCCTATTTCGATTAAATCCGATGAGTATTAAAAAAGTTACGATCGTTTAAAGTGAAACACCCAAAACGCTGAGAACTTTCCGGACAACCTAATAGTTAGCCGGTGGCCTGTAAGCGTAACACGCAGGTTGAAGTCCCACTTGGGATTAGTTTGGCCTCAGTATTCTTGTGATAACCTCACTATAAAAAGAATGGCGCTTAAGAGTTCATTTTACGGCGTGATTCCTACACCGTTCAAGTTGATGTGTACATCAAGGCGCTTCCGTCCTAGGGCGGCTCATATACGCACCCAATGGCTCGCTCGAGTTAAGGAGTTAATGATGTCGGCGGAGATGACCGCATATAAGAGTTTTCCAACTTACTCGAAGACGTCTACTTACGTGTGATGCTCTTCCGGCAGCTCGCCGCATCGTATCCGCATCGCGTAAATTCGATCGGTCTAGTGGCATCACAAAGCACATCTTGCTGTTGCTTTTCAACGTCTCGTCAATAACGGCAACGCGATTCTGAACACGATCTTGCTCATGATCTGATTTGGCCCGTGAAAACAATCACAAGAGTCTGGTTACCGTTTTGAAATCGTAGTAACTAATGTAGTTCCCTTTGAATGGCATGGCACCTTGCATATGTAGCCGAACCTGGAAATGGTACAATTGGGCAGTATTCACACTTTGCAGTGGCGCGTGTCTACGAGCGTCATCGCGAACGATGGTTTCGACAAGATCACACCTGCTCTTCCTCTGCCTTCATATCGACACGAACTGGGTTCTGCTGCCCTCCTCGATATTGCTCTGGAGCTTGCCAAGAGATGTGAGCGCTCTGAAATTTGAAATTACTATTAAATTCTAGAAGTTGCGTCTTCGCCATACATCAAACTTTTTTCTCAGGATGCGGCAGGCATTCTGCTCCTATTTAGGTTTAATTGAATGCGGTGTGGCTTATACAGTGACCTGCGGGGACCAGACAGTGCACAAGTCAGTGTTTTTATCCTTCTAGACAAGTCTGATATAATACTTAGCATCTCAGGTGGAAGACATGGTCGCTCTGGGCGGGATTCGAGCCAGGATTGGACACGACCAAGGCGAGCGTGTCGTTTGCTTCATCATTTAATCACCTCCGCTTCATCTATACGTCAGAGTTATGCATCTACATGCGTTCGTGTGTCAGCAAGAACGAAAATTCCAGGCAGATTTTATAGCATTCCTCCTGATACAGGCCGCAATCGGGCTTGGTGGAGCCACGAAATGATTCGGAGTTGGTTCACAACCTTTCGAAGACCTTCAAACTCCTGTAACTAAACCGTTCACTTGAACACTTCGCAGCTTTACAAGTGTTTAGAAGTTACAGAAATGTAAGAGTTGTTAGTCATCGTGACATAGCAAAAGAAACTAGCCAAAGTGCGGAATGCCCCATCTTCTCACCTTGCGCAGTACTACGTCTATGGAACTCAGAAGTCCTGACTCAAAAATGACCAGTACAAACCGAGCCTTTAAAATTCCAAGCTGATTCAAACCCGTGTGGGCAGAGCAGTCCTAAGGGGGTAGCGGTTTAAGCGGAAAAAATCAACTGCCAAGAACTAAAACACGGACACAATACTTGATCAATAGAAAGAGAATAATGAAAGTGAAGTGATAAGGAAGGAAAAGTGAAAGAATTAATCCCGAAAGGTGATTTATTTGGGTAATAGCCAGATTTTCTTAAAGATTCGAAAGCTGGGTGAAATCGGATTCGTTCGCTTGCACGCGTATTGCGTCTGGTACTTGGGACCTAGACCCAGGGAGGGACTTCCCGCAACCCTGTTTTACAGTCGGTGGGAAATCTGTGAACTTCTGCTAGCTCTGATATAAGCCCTACATAACGGTGCTATAAGGTTCATAAATTATAAAGCGTCCACAGGTTCACAAGGTGAGGGAATGAAGAAAAAAGGCAAATTAGCAAAAATGCGTCTCTCGTTAACGAGAAGTAGCACGAATAGGAGGGGGGCGAGATCCTCTGCGCCATATCAACAGATGAAATGCAAGGTAAGCATGGAAAAAAAAAAAAAAAAAAAACAAATTGGGCATAAAAAAGATAAAGGGGGGGGGGTGATGCGTAGGGAATATTAATAATCTGAAGTAATGGCCACATGAAATATATACATATACACATGAAATAATCCAAAGTTTAATAGAAGAGTTCTGCAAAAGTCGCCATCAGCTGTATATTTTCCGTCTCTCACTTGACATGAAAGAGTAAAAAAAGAAAAATGAAATTCAGGAGTCGGCTTAGGAACTACTAAAACGTACCTTCGGAGGTTTGAGCACTTGTGACAGGACTATAGCGGCGATCACAGCCACAGATTACTGGCTAACACAACGAGGAATAGCAAGCATATAACAGATGGGGTAATAAAATCTGTAATAGCAGACAGCTACAACATTTATCTTTTGGGGGAACCATTTGAATTATATATTGCTATTATAGCAGTAATCATCGCAGCATGGCTAAGAGCGCCCATATTTGCTCGGAATCTGCTTTGCTTTTTTAAAGCTTCTGTTTAATTAATCAGCAGACATCAGCCCCCGTAACACATTGTTGTGAGAAGAAGGGAGTTTATCAGAGGCAAAATATGACCCCGTTCTACTGGCGGCGGGACCTCCGAGCGAGATATACCAAAGGCTCGGTGCCCCTTTGATGACCGCTACTGCGCGTGTCGTGGGCTGACTAGGCTCAAAGCCATTTTATCGTACATGCCATGGAGTCATGCATTTTGTGAAGTAGCAGTAGGCAAAATCATAAAATGCTGCAAAAATGAATGGTCCCTCCGAGTAGAATGTTGGTTGTTTTTACGGTTGCCGAGCAGCTGTGGAAAAAGGTTTTCACGTACTTTTCTTTCCATTCCTGCAGTCGATTGCGTTTATTCTTCTGAACAGGAACAGCCTGTGGAGCCACCACTACTGGTGACAGCACTACAGATGGTGCTCTTGACGAAGGTGGTAGTGTGCCAGCTGGCGCTGGAGCCGCTTTCACAGGTAACGCTTGGGAACTGTTGACCTATAAATGAATGACAAAGAAATCTTTCTATACCTGATAAAATCTGCAGGTGGTCATAGCGATTTTGGGACTAATAGACACTATGCATTCCTCAGTTTTATTCCACTGATTTTCCCCTCTAGAACGCAGCGCAGTGTGTAGAGGCAATGTTTCCATCAAAGAAATCCTGCTCGTATCAGCTTAGGCTCCTTTTCATGAACTGACGGCCTTAATGAACAGGGAACATTCTCGGTGGTTATTGAGGCGGTAGGTAGTAGGGGCAGGAATATGCATTTACAGGTGCTCGTTCATTTTTCAATGGTTCCACTTATGCTAGTTAGTTTGGTCAACATCGATGCTTATTGATATTGCCTTTTCAAGGTTTACCTCACTTTGTACGTTACTTTTCTTTTACTTTAGTTTATTTTGTTCTTTTTATTCCCAAGCAGTGGAATGATGACGTGTGCGTATGAATAAATCTCGCCCGCCACTGGTGAATTCCAGGTCGGGCACCTCTTAACTGGACGTAATCCCTTTGTTTGGCAATTTGTTCGACGCACGAGGAACTTAAGGACAGGAGGCACGACGGGGATTTCCGGCGGCTAGCCGTTCCAAGACCTCAGCAAATAAACACCTACGAGAGCCCAAGTCGCGTCACCAGCGTAGTACATATCCAGGTTCCCGTGACGATCATTCGCCAACTGCATGGAAGGAGTCACTTCGAGTTTTCGGTCAGAATTTAAACGATGTTCTAGGAGCGTATGGTGATTCAAAAGACCAAGGAGATTAAAGTGAAATGGAACCTATGTAGAACATTTTAGGCGGCAGTAACCTTGAAGGTAGTCACACCTGTAAATTTTTCAATGTGCCTTTGCTTTTTCTTTTGTCTTTTCACAATCGTGCCTCACCCTGCAAGTCTACAAGTTCCTGACTAGTTTGTGAGTTCGTGGCAAGGTTATAGTACTGGCGCCACTGGAACGCCATTTCTCCATTTTTTTTCCAAATTTTTACTAGTCATTTTGACAAAGTTGACAGGACTTTATAGGGTACTTGACAGGTAGTGACAAAGTTACACGGTGTTGACAAGGTTGTCTGATATCCATATACATCTACCAGAATTGGCATTCTGGCATTTGGCAAACGTATACAAGTGTGCCCTCAGGTCTGTCAATTTGTCAATTCTGCCAGGTAAATCCAGCGCCCCAGTATTTATCCTTTCGATTCTTACGCATTTATAACTCATTCGTATGGCCCGATTATGCATAAGTTACAGAAGAGAGTCACGAGCCATTCAATCTTTTTGGAACCAAACTTACGAATTTTTTTAAAATTTCGTAAAGCAAGCCACCGCTACTGTAGCCGCTCCAATTGGGCTGTGTTCTAACTGTCTTACCCCCATTTCGTCACCAACTGATCTCCCCCTCGTTCTCCAATCTCTGGGCTCCTTTGGAACCGAATTACAAATTTTTGAATGTTTTGTGGGAAGCACCGCAAACCTATAACACGCCCGCCCATAATGGGTGTGCCTCCGCATTTCGGTCCGAAACGATTGCTATCGTTTCCCACTTTTCCGCTCCCGGCACTATCTGCAAACCGAATATTAGAATTTTTTATAGCCCCTTACTGTCGCGCACGCCCTGTGGGCGGGACATAGTCAGTTCGTGCGTGTTCCGTGCTTCTTGGTCCACGCCTTACCCAACCCACACTTGACCCGCCCCCTCAAACTGGCTGTCCAAGTGATGCCGAATTCCCGACAGACACACACACCACACAGACGCTGAACAGCACAGACAGGCGTTGCCTATATACCAGCCCCCATAGTGTTCGAAAACCCGGAAGAGCATCGCAGGAGCACAGGACGCGAATGCCGAACCATGAGAACTAGAGCAAAAGGTTACATGAGAGCCCATAGCATGACTTTACATGCATGTGTACAACATGGTCCAACTAATGAGCTTGCAGCTCGCTTCTTGGCGCATCGCCAATCTCATCCTCGCCGGTTGCAGTTCCACGAGTGACTGCACTTCCGCGCTCGGTGGTCGCGAATGTGCTCCGAGCAAAAACCTGTGGGATAAATGAAGGTGACAGCGGAGATGTGAGGGAAAACAAGATTTACGCCAATGAAGCCTCGGCATTTTGGGGTGCGACCATGAAAGTAACTAGACACTTGTGTTTATGTCTCTCGACATGGACACTAACTGTTACCCCTATAATCACGGCCAATGCCAGTGGAGCCTTTTGTTCAGATTCAAAAAATGCGTGAGGACAATGGCCGTGAGGAACTGCGCTGCCCACAAGAATGATTGAAGCGCTCGTCTTGAACCATTAGTTCTAAATAGCAACGAAGTAGGCGTTCCAAGCAGACGCATAGCATTCGAACCAGGACCCCCAAATCAACCATACTGCTATACTGCGAGTGGAAAGCAATACTCTACACTCGATAGTGTGGGGAAGCACAATACCTCCGCGTCAACATGTGGACAGCCCTCCCTCATGATGAAGATTGTGCTTTCTACCGGTTCCTCTCCAGCCGTAACCTTAATTTGAGGACTTTCGAGACATATAGATCCCATTAAAATAAAGAGAGCCTAGGCCGTGATCGCTAATGGATCGATTGGTTGTTCCTTGAAGAAAACATAGGGACGTAATTTTGGACTAGTGGCTCTACATATGAACGAGAAAGGAATTCTAAAAAAGACCATGGTTTCTCAAAGGGCAAGTTCCTACCAGTTTTATGCGCGAGACTAACAAGTATCGATCTAAGTTAACGCTATTGGGAACTACGAATGAACTATGTAGTACGTTGGGGAATCCCCAGCAAGGAAAAGCAAGTCGACTTGCATTGCTTTGATGGAACGATGAACAGAGGTCATACTTGAATTGGAGAAAAATTGTTTTGATTGTTAACATTTCTTGGTTTTTCCTACCTTGAGTGCGCTATACCACCTTTTCTCCTTTCTCCCTCCTCCCCTCTCCTCCAACACGATACCAGTTTTATCTTATTCATGGGAGAAAACTGCGAATCTGGAAGAAAAACGGACAAGAAAAATTCCGTATTGCATGAGGTATCAGCAAATATGCGAGAACAGGATAGGCCGATGACAAAACGCGGGCGGGTAGATCAGGGGGGGAGCGTTCTACAAAAATTTTCTCCGACAGCAAGCCGCGCCATGGCTGGTGCGTTACTCTGAAGTAGCGACATTTATCAACTTTATCACCTACCATGTGTAATCTGTAGTTATCAGAGACGTAGGCGAGTTGAGACGGCGTTCGTGACGGCACCTGTTGACTGGCATTAGACGTCTGATAAATAAGCTTTGATAGCACTGTGAAAATGCAGACTTACAGTCATGTTCGCTGCGGATGCTGTGGCGTGTTAGGGGGGGGGGGATGGGTTTGGCGTGGCGGCAACCCTTCCACTACTAACTGTTGAAGAGGACAAACAACAACTCGGGGAAAAAAAGCTGGTGTTGCGCAAATCCAGCCCCCACCCCACCTAGCACGCCCCAGTATTGCGGCGAACAAAACTGTATTTATCAAAGAAAACGAGAAAAAATACACAAAAACAGCATTTGGGAAAACAACAACTAGATGTACTCAATAATCGAGCAGACTTCACAGTAAATCCAATACCGTAGCCTAATGCACCAAGGAAACCAACCTGTTTTACTTTTGGGTAGCAGTTCACTTTATGCTTGTTAAGATTTTCATCAGATTCAACGAGATTCACCCAACTGGCACGTCGCTTGCCTAGCCCTTAAGGATACTAACTCAGGACTGGAAAAGTCGATAAATCAGTAGAAAAGACGGACCTGACGATCCGGAATAGTCGCTCCAAGTGTCGGTCTCAGTTACCGTACCGCTCGCTGTGCGATACGCGGGTGGCGGACCTGAAACAGCTATGGAATCTATAGAGCCTATAGAAATCTTCCAAATTTGAAAATGGTTTGTCCTACATTTAGGGTAGGTCGGCGATTCGCGCTGGTCGAATAGGGACCATATATTGTGGTGATTCCATCACAGCAAAAGCATTGTCACATGAAGGTGACACACGGATGAGGTATATGACACCCTGAGGTCAGCCGTTGTCGATAAACAATTGCGGAACTATGCTGGCCGTATTGATTCCGTGGTCTGACTGGGACTGCCAGGTAACCTCCACCCTCTCTATTTAATTATCGCAGATGGATAAGCTCATCGGATCTCGAACAGGCAACTTGTGGGCGTGGCTTGGCCAGAAGCAGGCGACCTACGCAACAGCACGGCGTTCCTACAACGAAACTGCGATGATTCGTCTTGCTGCTCTCATGTCTGGGATTCGCTGCAAAGGGTGTCCGCATCCTGGGTTGAGCTGAACTATCTCTTCTGCGCTCAATTTTTTCGGACCCAGTGTTTGTGTAGTTGTCGAAGAATCTGCTAGATATCACTTGAATATCAATTACTACTGCTCTAGAATGGTATTTATTATTGTGGTTCAGGGGAGCGGAGGTGGAAGGGGTAAGGCTGCTGACTGACACATGCACGAAATCGTCCTTTTAGCCGAGATGACGAGATTCTATCAAGGGTTATGACATAACGGTCTGCACTATTACCAGAAGGATACTTCTAGCTTCAAGATGATCACCATGGCAGAGATAGTGGGTGCAGTGACCAAACAGCACCATTTACCATACGCGCTCTACAAGGTCACATCCCGGACAATCAGTCCTTCCACCCCGTAGTCGGATAACGTGGTACTGGACTTGTTCAAGTCTCAGCTTAGAACCACCTATTTGTGCGTGGGCTGGTTTCTGTAGTCTTTCCATAGGCCACGTCAAATGCAGAGGCCATTACGATTTTGAACAGAAATAGGTTACTGGAGCACTCCAAAATGCGGTTCAGCGCATGCATCTCCCTCTTCTTACCTATTTTCCTCTTATGCTAATCGTTCTACGAATATGTTTAGAGAAAGATAAGTCTTTTGAAGGAGAGGACTCATAAGTTTTCAAATCGAGAATAATGGGCGAAGTTCGGCTTGGTAGGGGCACCGAGTGGTACTCAGCAAAGTTCGCACTGGCCACCTAGAAGGGACCAGTTTCTTTTACTAAAATAACTCACTCATGCGGCTTCGCAGCTCCTCAACGGTCACAGCTCTTACCAAAGCAAGACCTGTTCGTTGACATGAACTAGTAATGAGATCCAGCGAAAGTGGAGAATGCCCCTCCAAGCCGAACGGCTTCAAATAATGAGACGGAAAGTCACTAGAGCATGGGAGTCTTTCATGGGTACGGGGCCGTTCACGCCTCAACTCGAGGAAAACGTACCTTGTACACTGCGACATTTTGGTTCGTGGTCGAGTGACAAGAAGTCAGATGGCAGTCGAACCATCTAGCTTCCACAATCTTTCCTGAAACTATCACGATCATTTACAGCAGTATTCATCGAGTTTTCGCCAGCACAAGCGTAGGGTCTTATACAAGCGATTGGGAATGCTCGTGGTGTTTTTTGAAGGCTGCCCGCAAGAGAGCCTAGGTCATGTCCTTCTCTCTGTCGCGATTCCAAAAGATATGTAAGGAACGGCCGGGCCTGAGTAGACGGCGTTAAAAATAGGTGCTCATACTGCGAATAATACGGTCAATAACTGAACAATGGCTACGTGGGTTGGCTGAAAACAGTCACTAAGTGAGTGGATCGGCGTGTCGAGTGCGTCTGGGCGTTACTGTAGTCG